ATTTTGCAAAACAGTTGCAAAATACAATATCAATAAACGTTTTCATTGAATCGAATCGTGATTAATCGATTCAGAACTTTATGAATCGAATCGATTTAGAGAACTGGCCATAATACCCAGTGCTAATATTGGACATTAGAGATGTAGCAGTGCATGTGTTTGTATTGTGACAGTTCGGTACAGATGTTTGGCACATTGAAGTACACAATGAATGTGTCAGATGATTTCCCCTCTCATCATGGTGCACGGTTTAATTGCCTGCAGAGACAGAAAGGGATCAGAGGAAGGTGTCATCTAAAGCTCTCCACATCAAACAAMGCATGAATAGTTAGTTAACAATAACATTCTGAAAAACTGCTTGTTTTTTTTAATCAGCTGTTTAAAAATGTTTCCTGCTCAGGATCCATAGCTGCAGAGGAAGGAGACGAGAGGTGCCTGTATGGCAAGCAATTACACCATATAATGCAGACCCTTCATCATAACTTAGGCATATCCTGCACCCTTATTGTACACAGTGTAAATATATTTGAACTTCAGTTTTTCCGATGCTTAACTAACAATGTGTGTTTGTTGTCTCGCAGGTTTTAGCGAGGACAGTCTTCTGTCTCTGCTGGACTTCTCCTATTCCTCCACTCTCTGTGTTCGTCAGGAGGACCTACCRGAGGTGTGCGCTATGGCTCGACACCTGGGCATGTGGCCCGCAGTGGAGGCCTGCTCGGCTCTCCTTAAAGAGCAGGAGCAACAACTCCACCCTGGCAAGCGCTTTACCTCAGCCTGTGCTGGTTCATGCCGTGAACATTATCAACAAAAGGAAGAGGTTTTAGATTTGGACAACATGAATGAAAGCTTTAGTTTAATACTCGATGCGTCAGATGAGTCTATACACGGAAGCCCTAGGCGTAATTTGCGCAGATTGCCAAAACCCCAAGACCAAAATGGCCTCCCTTTGAGTCCCTCASACAGGATGAAGCTCATGGACTTTAAATCCCCCTCTTCCAAAAAAGGCAGCACACCCCGTCATGGCATGGCCACCTCTCAGTCACAGAATTACTCACCCATATCGGCATCGAGCACCCGTCTTCTACGCTCTTCTCCTGGAGCCGCCAAGGAGGTTCAGAGATTGCTGCCCGTGCCAGAGACGCCTCGACGAGGCAAAAAATCCCACGCYGTCACGCAGCTCTCGTGCTCATCGAGGTTGAGGCCAGGCACAACCTGCAGCCCAGTGAGGATCAAACAGGAACCAGAGGAGGTCGGAGAGGATGAAGAGGATTATGAAAGGGCACAGGAGAAGTACAAGCTTATGAATGTCCTCGGGCTTCAGAGGACCGCTCTGCTCCCCAGACCAGAAGATCTGATTGGCTGGAGGCAAAAGAAACGACTAAGGAAGTTGAAGGCCAACAACTACTCACTGACCAAGCGGCGAAAACCTCGTACGTCCTCCCCGGGACTGTCGTATGAAGATATGACACTGTCACTCCCTCTTTGTAACCCCGTCAACACTCGACTCCTCAACAAGTCTGTCAAGACCAAGGCTTTGGCCTCAGCTAGCTCAAAGCAGATTCCTGCGAAGAGGAGAAAAAATGTCAAACRGCTCGTTCCTCCGACTGACAGGAGCCTGAGAAGCAAAGGGGTTCTTCCAGACCTGTTCCAGCATACGTCCAGGCCCGCCTTTGGGATGAGGGAGCTCAGACGCTCCGTGAGGACGGGTAAWGGTGCCTGCCGTCATACTCAGCAGCCTCTGAGACGCAGCACCAAAAAATCCTTTGTGAGAAACATAAAAATCAAAGCAGAACCAGCTGAATAYTCCATCTCAGATTCCGGACTGTCATCAAACAATCACTATGATCACGTGTYCTCAGAGTCCCCTCCTGCACAGAGGACGTCATTCAGAAACAAGGTCCCTGCAGACTCGGTGAAAACACTGCGTTATAACAGCAGCCGGCTGGTTACAAAAGCCAAACTCCGACGGGGCTCCAYGAAAGACACAGACAAGACAACGTCTGCGAACCGAGAGGAAGGGAGGAAGAATCTGAAGGGGGTCCACAGTACTAAAACAAAAGTGAAGGATACTGAAGCTAATGGGCTTCAGTTTTCAGAGCATTCACCCCCATCGTCCATTTACAGCCACCATCTGTACAGAGCCATTAAAGAGGAACCAGCTGAACCTGTGCCGGTTGGACAGTTCTCCGATCCTCCCTCACCAGATCTTGGTAAACGTCAGAGCAAGCCTYCCATCAAACTGCTGGACTCAGGCTTTCTGTTCAACTTCTGCCGACCAGCCGGGGGGCCAATGGCAGGGCTGAAGAAAGAGGAGGAGAGCGTGGATATCTGCTTGACGCGCTCCGTGTCACAGGGYGGTGAGAAATTTGAGACGGGACAGTCTCCCCACAGGACACTGAGAGCCAGAGGACCACCCGTCCTCCCTGTTGTGAAGAGGGAGAAGAGAGGGACCCAAGGCTCAACTCCAAGACCCAAACAGAAGCCCAAAACCACCACTTCACTCCTGAACAAATGTGCTGGGTCAAAGACTACACAGACCATGCCAAAGGTAGTTAACTGTTTGGTGATAACAGTTCACTGTGACATTTACAGCGCTATAAATCACTAATGAATGGGCATGCCTAGGTACAATCACAAACATGTTTAATCTGCATTTATCTAAACTAATCTGTGTTTTCTCCTCGCATGTCACATGTAGAGACAAAGTAAAGTCATTGCTGTGAGCAGCAGGAGCTGCGTCATCCTGGATGCTGTACGGCGAGCACGCCTAAAGCAGCTTCGAGGGCCTCGCAGTCAAGCACCAAAAGTTCCAAAGGCGGCCCATGCCTGTCTGCAGTGCWCAGCCACCTACAAGGACTGTGATGCTCTAATTATGCATCAAATAAGGCATGTGGATGGAAAGCACTGGCCCTGTCCGGTAAGCTCCAGACCTATGAGAAGTAGAGCCACCTATCTGTGATCGGTTCAATCCACTCTTCAATTCAATTCAGTTCAAATTCAAAAATACTTTCTTGATCCCAGAGGGAAGTTTGGTAATTTTGGCTTTTGGTTCTCTTGATTTAATTTGCTTTTTCAGTCAAACAAAAAAAAAAAACATTAGTTTGTTGGTAACCCTTCAAAACCAGTTTAAGTTTTTTGCCATTAAAACTGTATTCTGTCTAAAAAGCATTGAAGATGAAAAAAAGGACAGTGTGAAGCCCATGATTAATGATCTGTAACTGGGGAGTATTTGATTGGGCCATTTAATGCTGCCAGTATTGCTGTAGTGCTCTCAAATTGTATTCAGCTTTTTTTTTTCTTTCCATAAAGACAGACTAAGGTTACAACAAAAACATCAGGAGCTATGCTTTTAACAAATAATTTTAATAATACAACTACAATTTTGAGAATAAAGTAGTATTGGAAACTAGTTTCACTTTATTTGTACAAAAACAACACGATGTAATGAAAACGAAACAAGATAAAGTGAAACCAATTATCCACAAGGTCCAAATTGGTTATCAGTCCAACATTAGTAAAACCTTAAATTTTAATGTCTGTCATGAAAATGTCGCACACTCCAGCTCTATTCTACATGTGCTGTTTGTTGATCATTGAATAAATAATAATTAGTTGTTTCAATATCCAGGATTACATATGAAGCTGAGGACAGCATCATTTCCTCCTTTTTTAGTCTGTCATCAGTATCTCCTCTACAATCTTTGGTTTGCTACCATTTTAACATTTTTTAAATGAAAAGCTTAGTGCATACCTACTGTCTGAGCGTTGGAGTGAAATATCTGATGTTCAGAAATGAAATTTAAAGCTGTTTTGGTCAAATCTTGAAAATTCCATTATACACAAATTGATGGCGAGATCTGCAGAGATGAGTTGGTGCTCAGAGTATATGTTGTGGATGACTCTCAGCTACTACCACATCACATTTTAGCGTAACGTTTGTATCTCTAGCTCTGCAGCAAGACGTTCTTCAGGCTGAGGAATGTCCGGAATCACATCCGCACCCACGACCCCAAGTTGTACAAATGCCGGAGCTGCATCGCTGCAGGTTCCTGAGGCAGCCGGAGAGCCGGATCGTTTGACCAAGGTTGGTGAAAGAGATGCCGCACATGCCTGAGCTGCCTGTCAATCACTTTTACGTCAGCTGTCATGAGCGGTTCTGCCTAAAGTGTTAGATTAAGAAGAGATGATATCAGAATGCAAGACATGTCAAGACCTGTTGTTGTCATGTGTCATATATATATTGTAGCTCTGTGTGATCGTGGGTGTTTATTGATTTTCTTTGGGTTATTTTTCAGGCTGAAGGCCGTCTGTGTCTGTCCACCAGCAAACGGGCTGAAGCCAGAGGCACGTGGCCAATCAGGAGCTTGTAAATAATCCTCATCGTCACACCTCGAAGCACAAGGATCTGTGAAAAGAAACAAGTTGTTCAGAATATAATTACTGCTGTTATCAATGATTGCTAATATTATTATTTAAATAACCAAATCAAGGTTGCCGTTCCTGTTTTCTTCTTGGTAGCTGCAGAAGGCTAAACTTGAACGTTACTCTCAGGGGCGGGGGGAATGTGATGCAACGGGATAAAGTGACTCAACATCACAGTTGTATTATATAATAAAAAGAAGAAAAAAAAACCCTGAAATGTAAAATAATTGTTATAATTGTTACCGTTACTATTATTTTTCTATGTATAGATGAACGTTGAGTGCACTTATCTAGAAAACGTTGTAAACCTAAGAAATAAAAGAAGTTGAAGGTTTAGAGTCGGAGGTGGGAATACTTGAAGTCTTGGAAGTGCTGGAGGAGGAAGAGGAGGGGGAAGCGGGGTATACTTGATGTTGGAAAGGTGGGGGTTCATAAAAGTCAGCCTGCCCTTTGTGGGTCTTTGTCTTTTCATGTGGTAACTTATGACTTGACGAGTTCTTTCATATTGACTCCTTGCCCAGTCACGAGTTCTGGGTTTGACTTGTGGGGAGGAGGGGGCATGATGACACCACTGCATGTGTATTTGCAGGCCGTTTGTAGTCCACCTTTTTTTTTTGTAAGGTTGTTGGGGGGAATTTTTTGTTTTTAAAAAGGGAAACCTGTCCTGTTTTTAATGACTTTTCCTAATRTTATTCAAGACAACTTTGTCACAACAGATGTTTTATTATTTTCCTCTTCAGTGCAGGATGAGATAATCTTTGCTTAAAATCTCCTACTGAGTAAATGCAATGTGCACATACAGAGATGTTTATGTATTACAAATGGATTTTAGAAAGAAATAAGTTGTATCTTGCCATCTGCTAAAAGACGATTGAATAAATTTTTTGCCTTTTATGTCCTTTATTTTTCATTTAAAATGAGTGAAATTTAAGTTTGCCAATTTACAATTTTAACAAACGACTCAGTTTTGCAGCTTCAATCTTTGTATTAAAAGGTTAGCTCAGCTGAAGGTCGAGGGCATCTTTTTTTCATAATTCTTATTGGGAGTTTTTTAAAGCACAAGGATTAAACTGTTTAGTGACCATTGGTGGTTTAAAACAATAAGCGACTGTGGAAGAGTGGTTAGGGGAGTCGTCCTGTAACCAGTGAGTAGCTGGTTTGCTGGCCTCTCAAATTTGAAATGACTGAATATTTTCAGATTATTAAACACTGAATGCAGCTCTATGCATCAACTCTAGATCAGTTCAGATCTAGAGTTGGAGGTGGTAGAGACCTCATTCAGTGGAGGACTGATGACAGTTGCAGATTTTTTATTTTATTGCACACCTTCAGTGTCGTCCTTGTATCAAATACACAATAAGAACAAATCAACAGTTCAAAGCAATAATCTAGTGGAAACATTTTTTTAAAATTTGTGATTCTGGAGACTGGATGTTCCTGCAAAAAGCCAACTACTTCAGAATAAACAGTCCTTCCAATCTGAGCACAGCACAGCGGGTGAATGTCGGAGCATTTGCACAAATGATCCTGAGCAAATACTAACTGAAGCTCAAACTCCTCAGCAGCTGAGCTCGTCTCTCTCTGCAGCAAACACCAGCGAAAAAGAATTTCTCAGCAGAGAAATCCAASGATAACGAGAACACTCATTAAATCCGACAGGAAACGAGGAGGACTTTAATCATCCTGTGTTATAATCAGCAAAAAGCAACACATTTACATTCACTTGTCTCTCTGCTTTGAGTCACAAAACTAAACCACTGGAACACTTGGGGAATTTTTTTTTAAATACATACATTTGAAAATATTTCCCACCATAATTTGGGTCAGTAGAAAGATGGTCACAAAATAATGTGTTTAAAAAAAGTTTACCAGGGGAAAACAGAGACACTTCAATAAGAATGCCTTTCTAATTCAGTTATACAGTTGTAATATGGTATTCTGTTGGAATGGTGGTTCCTCCACTACTCTGTAGTCCTATTTGAGCTCTTTTGATAAACGTAAAAGTTAACATAAACACAAAATTATGTTTTCACTAGGTGTTTTCATCTTTAGGGATGTAAAACAAGGTTAAAAATAAAGATATATTTGAACTGAGGAGGATAGTGTAACAG